GATTTTACCATGTTTCTTATTCTTAACATGATTTGGCAGGAAATGCAAAAAAGTTGGTAGTAAATGGATGTTAATTTCAGATCCAATCAATTGCTACTTTGTTGGTGTAAAGTTCATTAATTCAACATATTGGGCCAGGAAGAGCTTTGGAGCTGAGGCTTGGCAGTTCCCTGGGGGAAAAAAGATACCTTTCTGGGATCCAGAGGCTTACAGTCTAGTGGGAAAGGTACTGAATATACAGGCATACCCCGGATATGATATATTGTGGGTTCAGTTCCAGACCACTACAATAAAGTGAATAAAGCAAGAAAGCAAGTCAAATGAATTTTTTGGATTCCCAGTGCATATAAAAGTTCTGTTTACGCTATACAGTAGTCTACTAAGTGTGCAATAGCTTTATATCTTTAAAAAACAATCATACCTTAATTGAAAAATGCTTTATTGCTAAAGAATGCTAACTATCATCTGAGCCTGTTGGAAAAATGGCACCAATAGACTTGCTTGACATAGGATTGCTACAAGCTTTCAATTTGTAAAAAACACACTATCTGCAAAGCACAATAAAGCAAAGTGCAATAAAACAAAGTATGTCTGTAATCACGCTAATAAGTGAACAATTGAAAACTCATGGAAAAGAACAAAGTGGCAGAGGCGTGTTAAACAGAGACATCTAATCCCATCTGGGGGGATTCAAGAAGGCTATACTGGGAAATAACATCTGAGTTAAGATCTGAGGTTAACAAAGTGTTTTCCAGTTTCTCAGTTTCCTCATCTCTCTCATCAAACTATGGAGAATGACTTCCTTCATGTAGTGGAAATAAGCACCCTCTCTTCCAAGTCTGTCCCAGACCTCCTCTCTTCTCTCCACACTCTTGGTTTAGGTGATTTGATTTACTTCAGTGACTTCTACCAACCCTTCTCTGTAAAACCTGCTTCTTCCCTGAATTTCTACCTGCTAGACATCTCTCCCTGGATGTCCTTCCAACACCTCCAACTCCAGGTGTCTCATCTTTCATAAAAGCCTGCTATCCTCTTCCTCATGTCCCTCCTTTTGTTAACACTATCACTTGACACATGTCACTTTGTGAATGAAAAATCCTCAGTGGCCGTTCAATAAACACAGAAAGAACTAAACTTTTTGATGATGACATACAATACTCCCCACAATTCATCCCAACTGACCTTTATAGTTTGGCCTCCTACCAGACCCAACAACTCTCAACACTGAAGTTCTCAAGGTTTTCTAAGCATGCTACCATGTTTTTTCAAATATTTGTGATTTTGTAAATTAATGAATTTTTTTAAAATTAGAGTTGAAATATATTAGTTTCAGGTGTACAACATAAGGATTGACATTTATGTACCTTCCAAAGTGATCACCATGATAAGTCTAGTAACCATCTGCTACCATACAAAGTTATTAGGATATTATTGACTATATTCTTTATGCTGTACGTTACAACATTACAACCCCATAACTTATTTATTTTATAACTGGAAATGTGTCCTCTTAATCCCATTCATCTTTTTTAAAAAAATTTATTGATTGGAGAGAGAGATTGATTTGTTGTTTCACTCATTTATGCATTCATTGGTTGATTCTTTTTGTGTGTTTTTTTTTCCATTGATCTTTAGAGAGAGTGAAAGGGAGGGAGTAAAGAGGGGAGAGAGAGAGAGAGAGAGAAAGAGAGAAAGAGAGAAACATCGATGTGAGAGAGACACACCAATTGGTTGCCTCCCACAGAGCCAGGGATTGAATCTGCAACTGAAGTATGTGCCCTTGACAGGGAATCGAACCCCTGACCCTTCGATCTGCTGGCCAATGTTCTAACCCCTAAGCCAAACTGACCAGGGCCATTGGTTGATTCTTGTATGTGCCCTGATCGGGGATTGAACCCACATCCTTGGTGTATCAGGATGATGCTCTAACCAACTGAGCTACCTGGCCAGGGCCCATTCACCTTTTTTTTGCATATCTCTCCACCCACCCTCCCCTTTGAAGCTGTTCCTTAGCTTACAATGCATTCTTCATCTAGTCCTCTGGTGAATTCATATTCATTCTTTAGGACCTACTTCAACTGTCACCTCCTCTGTGAAGTCTGCCCAGATTTTCTCAGACAGAGTTCAACGTTCTCTCCAATCGCTTACTCTAGAACTTTTTGCATGCACTACCAAAGCATCTATCATCATAGGTCACTAGTATTAATTTTTCATGACTCTGCCTGCCGCATCAACTTGTGAGCACCTCAGGGGCAACGGCCCTGTATAATTCACTTTTCATTCTCTTGGGTGGGGATCAGATGTGGGACAGGAAGTAAATGTTCATTGAATGAATGAAAAATGAATGAATTAATGAATAGACCTTTCTTGTGGCACATAACGCTTTCTATCTTATATTGCCTTTGTTTGGGTATCTCATCCCCCTTCTTGGATTTACAAATCTCCATGGCAATAACAATGTGATCCATTTTTGTATTCCTTACCACAGCCTACCTTAATGACTACTGTTTGAATAAATGAGAAAAACTCTTGTAGGACATTATGTCATATGTCAAAATTGCAAAGCTATCTTCACACTCATTGCTTCACTTGATCTTCAAAATAACGCTAGCCATGACAAATTGATCTAGCAATGACAAATTGGTGTTAGTCTCATGTCACAGATAAAATAATTGAGTAAAACCTTGGAACCCTGCTTTCTTGTTTTTTAGAACAATGGCCTATTCCATGTCATGTTCTTAAGAAAAGGAAGATCTGTTCAGAAGTCCCCCTTTTTGAGAGTTTGGGGGTGAATGTAGAGATTCACCACCGCTTGTAAAAATAGCTAAGTCCTTATCTATTCTTCCCATATGAGTATAACATAAATAACTTGAGTGAGCTTGGAATACAAATCAGAAAGGGCAAAATAAGGGGGGCGGGGATAGAAGAATCTGAACCCTTTAGACATGCTTTGGGCAAGAAAAATACTTTGGGGGTCCAGAAAGAGAATCTTCAGCTTCTATAACATGGGATGCTTTGAAAGGCAGCATCAAGGAACTCTTAGTAATACTTTCTAAAACACCGAGGTGTGCTTTTAAGCCCAAGTTCCTCCAAGAGAGAAGATATCAAAAATGCTGAAAGAAAACTAAATTTATATAGCTTTGTCCCACCTCAGCATGCTGTTGTGTTTATGCATCTATGTACCTGCAGCACCGGGCACAAAGCCTGGCATGGGTGAGCTGAGGAGAGCCAGGCAAACAGAAGTGGTAGCCTGAGATCTGACTTAAAGGTGAGGGAGGCTGAAGTGGAGGAAGCTGCCCAAGGTCCAGGGTGAGCACTGAACATCCAGTCCCTTGGTTTCTCAACAGGCAGGGCAGACTCAGAGCACCAGCCTCACAGGGAGCAAGGCCAAACCCTGCTCCTGAAATCTGGTGAGAATAAGTCTTAACCAACACATCCATGGGTGTCCTATTTATTGCTCAAGCACCAGGAGGCCTTGGGAGTGTGGACAAAGCATCCCCAGTGGTCTATTAAACAGGCTGTTCTGGAATCACTGTTTATTCCCACTGACCTCACCCTATATGATCTGACTGACCTTCCACAGAGGGTCAGTTCCCCCAGTGACCCTATCTTTCTTTCGGACTTCTGTTTTTTGGAGCCCCTCCTGTGAGAATGGGACCCCCCACCCCCCATTCTGAGAGGTAGGCTCTGTCCCTATCCCTGCCAGATATGGGCTGGGCCAAAGAGCCAAGTTTTTCCACTTCAGCAGCTTGTGCTAGT